GAGGAGGGGAGGGGAAAACAGCGTGCGGGAACGGACCGACGAGAGAAAAAGCGGAGCATACAAAACCGCACCCGCAGCTGCCACCAATTGCTCGCGACGACAGCAATTTTCATGCGGGGCAGTTAGTCTTCATCTGCTCTTCGTACCCTGCTGGGAATGTGACAAGAACCAAACAGCAGAAGTGTGTCCGACAACGCTATGAACTCGTGGCTAGCTTCTCCCGAGCAGCTATCTGCAGATAAAGAGATTAATTCATATTGTCCGTGAAGAGATACTTCGTTGTGTCTGTGAATAGCGATGAATTCATCCATGGTGTTTGGTGAGAAAAAAAAAAAAAACTACACAAGGTGCTATTGTTCAAGACGTCACATCTACTTCGTACGTTATATGATAGACGGGGCACCTCTGTACTTTGTACCTCTGTACATGAGTCAACCTTCAAAAAGCACCACGGGAATTATGTTCGTTCCAGACACCGAAACCTGCATCCTTGCACGTTGTTACGACACCGACGGGCGGAAAATTTGTGCCTTCCTGTTCGCAAGCAAAGTTGTCGGTTGTCGGTCTAGCGTCAAGTTTGTCGAGCGTCGAGGGCTGTCTCTCAGTGGGTATGTACATTGTAAAAAAAAAGGAAACGTTGTATACAAGTGTATATGCGTGCGCAATTTTCCCCCGAAACCCAGCACAATCGTCCAATCGTCGTCGTCTGTAGTTCTTGAGATCTCTACCATCTTGGAGCGGTCACGTACTTGTACAGCGGTAGGTGGAGACGCAGCGAGATGAACATTGCGCAGAATGTACTAGAACACCCTCGTAGAGAGAGCCCCTTTCACGAGAAAAAACTATGAGCCTCTCCCCGCCTCTTGCACTCAAGGCTCTATGCCTGCGCACCGAAGGCAACAAATGCCGCATCTCTTGCATCATTCATTATCATATTAATTTTTTTTTTGAGTGGCCCCAGCCCGGACGGAGCGCTTCACCTACACAGGCTAACAAGCAAATGCAGCCGCAGGGCCAAGACCGTTCGATCCATCGATGACAGCAGTGGGGATGACTTTAGCAACTCGACGATGGTCGGGATATTCGCGGAGACGAGAAAAAGCGCATCGCTGTCCTGATTTATTGTTCTCGCTGATCACAAGGTAAACTTTGATTTATGACGAGGAGTCCTGCCCAGCAGCAGGCTTGTGCCGGTACAGCTGGTGCTCCAAAAAAAAAACGAGGGGGATCGACGGAGACGTTTTTCGTCGGAGACATCCAACGCCAACTTTTAAACTGAATTCTACACACGACAAGAGCTCCTCCGCGCTGCGTGCATCAGATTGGAGGGGTGATCTTTACGGTACCGAAGCAACAACACGAAGACGGCCGCAACATTGCCGGTTGCGTTTCCCGAAGCGCAACTGATGACGCATGAACCTGCTGTGGTGTGAGTTGTGAACGAACGGGGGCCCCATGCGTGTGTGTGCGGTGGAGAATTTGAATGGAGAACATTCTAAGAGACCGCCGCCCCGCCGTGTTCAAATATAAATATAATGCATGCAGAGAAGCTCCAGTGTCGTGCACACCTTTGCTCTACCAGTGCGGGGAGGATGGCTTTCACCGCCACTGTCGTCATCACCACTGTTGTTGCTGCTGTCGAACTGTGCGTAGTACCGTTGTCTCGCCCTCGCCACCTCGCCGATGTCGCTGTCGATGAGGGCGGAGATGGACTGCACGCGATCGTCCAGCAGGCCGATCGAGGTCATTGTCTCGCGCAGCTTTTGGGGGAGCTCGCCGACGGCATCGAGATGCTCCCTAAGGTAGTGACTCATGGCGTGTGAAGACTGACAACGACAAACAGATTGCAGGTAAAGGGTCGGTTGTGCCCTGTGGCGATGATGGCGATGGACATCTGCGGGAAGTGCCGGTAGATGCAGGGTACCCCTCATAGCGCTATCTATCGGTCCCCCTCCTGTGCCGCTACTCGCGCTGCTGCTGCCGGTTGCCCTTTCCTCCGCAGTCAACATAAAGGGGACGCTGACCGGGCTGGTACGCTCGGAGAGCATCACCAGATCGATTTTCAACTGGCTGGCCGTTCCACGAACACCTACTGGAGAGAGCAAGGACACATCGCTACGACCTCTATCTTCAACCTGTACAATCTGGTGAGAATTGAGAAAGTGGTTCCCGGTTCCAGGCGACCCAGTGACAGAACGTTCCACAGCAGTGGTTTTACAAAAGGAATTCAACGGCGGCAGGGTTTACCAACATCCCACGCGTGCACAGCCCAAGCGTTAATCTTGGTACGGCTTGATTCGTTTGTGCCTGGCTGTAGTCGGGGAGCGATATGTCCGGTTGATCGTGTGCGCCGCTCGGCAGGACGTGTGTGAAATATGCATACATTCATGGAAGGACCGCGACTCGCGCTGAACAGCAGGTTAGCTCTTTAGTCCACAAAAAATGGGGAGCCCGTGGCCTCAAAGCCCGGCACATACGACGCCGCGGGGAAACAAAACAAAAACAGGGTACAAACCACTCCGAAAGAGAAAACAAAACGACAAAAAGAAAATAACAGGTACTGCACCGACCGTTCGAGAAACGAGCCCTCGGAAAACGATCAAAATGACACAGCAGGTGCAACCACCTGGTTCACATAGATAATTAGTATCCATTCCCTTTTCTACGAAAGGTCAGTACACACGGCAGGGTTCTCCGACAGCACTGGTTGCGCATAGCGGCGAGCGATCCCATCAACTATGACGCACACCGCGCAGGTGCAAGGCCATTGAAACCTCCCACGCCTTCGGCGTTTGTTTTTGACAAGATGCGAAATTATATTGCATCGGTTTGTCCGCCAGCATGTACATGCCTGCAAGCCGTGCTATTCGAGCCACGAAACGGTTGTGCTTTATCCACCCTCCAACATTGGCTCGAAACAGCAGGCCAAAAGAGGCGTGCTCGAAGGAAGAACAGCGCGGATTTCGATGATGGTCGCGGATGATGGCTCTGGTCCCGTCAAGGTTCCTCCGGTAGTCCTCGTGAAGGATGCCGCGGTAGCATCAGCAAGTGGCAACAGCGGCGTCGCCAATGGGGCACGAGAGGAAGAAGCTGGAGCAGCAGCAGCAGCAGCAGCAGCAGCAGCAGCAGAAGGCAAAGGTGTTGCAGCACTTCATACACCTCAAGTCTCCAGCAAGCACTGGCGGAAAATCAGGAGTGCCGTGGTTGCTCTCGCTGCGTTTCGAAGCCGACGGGTGAGCGCCTGCATATGCCTGCATTGCATGCATGCGCTGCTTTTTTTTTTTCGGCGGTGGCGGCAGGTACAAGCACGAATTGGCGAGCCAAAAAAATAGTCACCATGTCCCGCCGGGACAGGAATGTCGCGTGCCACGTTCCGTTTTATATAGCATGCGTAGAGACAAAAGAAGGGACCGTGCAGTAAGTCCTTCACGAGACAGTTATGAGCTGGAATGCGATTCATGAACGGTCTTTTTTTCACCTGGAGAATCCGGGTTGTGGGTGAAACTGCCAATCCGACCCTTCTTCCCATCTGGCAATCCATGGGGGAAAAACTGCCAATATGACCCCTCCTCTGAAGGAATCGACGCGGGGCGATTTTCCTGGCTCCGTGAGGCGATGGCGAGGTGGGGACAAGCGCCGTGCCGCTGGAGACAGATAACACGCCTGTGTGCTAAATATGGCTACGGCAGTAACACGGAACAGGGCCTCCGCGCACAGAGCAACTCAGCCACGCCCACGCACGTGCCCTCTCAAGATAATGTGGTTTAACGTTGTTGAAATGCGGACGAACAGACGTGACCCTGTCAACCGTTGTTCAAACACGCATAATTCGATCCATCCGCACAGCTACTGCTGTACTGCTGTCGTCCCGTGGGTATAATAAGGTTTCTCCAACGCCTCAAGCTGCTAACACAGAAAAGTGGTGGTGATGGGGTGTGGGGGGGGCGAGAGACGAGGGCAGCTTAAGATTGCTGCGGACGACGTAATTTAGAGGGAGGTTTGGAGCACACGCGTTTGCTTGCGTCTCGTTACAAAACTCCCCTTAACCTACCCGCGGCGGGGAAGAGCTAGGCTTCGGAGAGAGACCTCGTGTGAGGTGTGAGGGTCTGGCCCACCCTCGTGCGTGGTTAGCCATGTCCCCGATGTCGAGCCAAAAGCGATGGCACCGGCTCGGCACCGACCATGGTATGAGTCCAAGTCTTGCTCGTTGTTGCGATCAGTCTTAGCTATATCATGCCTTCAAATGTACGTGGCATTACGTTGCGACCCAATTTTTTTCGGAGCAACAAGTCGCGAAGGGAAGGGGGTTGTGTGAAGATTTCAACTCAACCCATCCCCTTCTACTGTTGTGATGTCTCGAACGGGTACCGTAGTCTTTCTTCGATTGTATGTTTATTTTCTTTTCGAAAATGTTCCTCTAGATACCACACAGGGGATTATTATGCCGGAGGGTGCCACTAATTCCCGTGGGAGGAACGCATCACAAGAAGTCCCGTGTCCGGTAGACGCCATAACCGCAGGTGGCCGAGTGTAGGTAGCCTCGCAACCTTCTGACACTTGAACGTGGGTTCGAATCTCGCTTGTAGTCACACACGAACTCGGATTTACTCTTACAGGAGGCCCGCACAAAACCGTGGAATACAGCGATATATGTTTTCGTGTGTACGCAAAAACTCGGTTCTAACGGTCGGCGAGGGACGAAACAGCTCAATCCTTGTCGCGATAAGAATCAAGGCAAGAACAGAGAACAACATACTCCTGTGTTCCTCCTTCATGTGTGGCCCCGGCTGGTGCGTCCAGAATTTGTATCGAGAGGTGTAAGGACCGATCGATGTCCAGAATTCATGGGATACCAAAAAGAAACAAGCTTTCCGTATTTACCTTTGCGACATCGTCCTTCGCTGGTGTTGCGTGTCGTTCTGGGGTGAGCGGACATAGTTTCGCGGGAGGGGGCGACGTTGGCTGTTGGGGTCTTGTGTCGCATCGGCATCCAATAATCGTTTTAAGAAACCGTACAGAAATCAAACTTTGCAGATAGTGGCAAGAAGACATGCCGTGCGACCCTGCTCGAAGGATCGTTTTCTCTCGAATTTCTTTCTGCCGGTGTTGAGGTACCTTCCGTCACCATTTGGCCCCCGTTACGTACAGACTACATGCGGGCTCTTGCCTTTCGGCCCTGTAAATGTTGTTGATGGACTCAGCCCTCGCGTCCGTTGTGTTGTCGCTACCCGCAACCTATGCTGCCGCAAAGTCAAGTTTTCCTCCCTGTTCGCTCTCCGGTGCTCTCCCTGTTGGTAGTGCCAGGCTTTTCTTTCTACCTATACGATTTCCCCTTTTGCTGTGACTGCCCGGTTACACCCAACCCAACACACGTTTGTTTTTTTTCGTCGTCGAAATCTGACTGCTGTATCTTGTGCACTGCATCCTGCAACCTCTCTCGCCCCATGTCACGCACACCGCACCATGCCCCCCCTCCAGGTGAAAGCGGCGGATTTTGAGCGGATACGAATGTGCGGGGAGGGAGGTTCGGGGTTGGTTTACCTCGTGCAATTGAAGAACACCACCATGTTCTTCGCTCTCAAGGTGCGACAATCGCGTGTCGTTGGATCGGTCGGATGCTTTCGCCCACCGTCGTACCGGACGGTGTTCGAGACACACGGCACTCATCAATAACTGCCTGTCGGTTTTTGTCAGGGTTAGAAATATTTCGTATTTTTGCCCGGTATACAATTCAGCAGGTAGTACTAAATACCTCGGCAGAGTGTTGCACCGCCGTGGCACTTGTTTGCGGCGTGTACTTCTGCCTCGTGCACCGTGCTGCCATTAGAAGGGCAGTGCTGATATTGCGAGTTGAACATCGGTGGTGTTATGCTTAGTTGGTCAGGACCGGTGGAACAACAGAGCCAAGACACCCTTTGCGGCGTCTGGCAGGAGTTCCCCTTGTGTGGCGGGACATATCTGCGCTGGCTGCGTTATGTTGGATATCAGCCTGCATCTTTCTATCTGCCTATCTTGCTGTCTGACTGGCTGACTGACTTAAGCGGCGAAAGCAGGCCAGCCGGACCAAGTCGAACGAGTACGCGTCGCTTTCTTTTTCGCCTCCCCCTCATCACTCTGTCCCCCTTTCCGTCCTGCCCGTTTTGGTTTCAATGTACCCTGTCTCTCTCTGTCTCTCACTCCCCCTTTCTTTCCTGTCTCCTTGCAATGGCTTTCCATCCGGGGTGCGGGCACGGACACACTGAATCCAAGCAGGTCCAGCGCAAGACAGACCTGGAGGCCAAGGAGAAGAGAATAAGGAGGGCACTCATCGAGAAGGAGGTGCTCGTCGCTTGCGCCCATCCCTTCGTGTGCAGCCTTTACACAGCCTTCCAGGTGTGTGATGTCTTCTCGATCAGGCCGCTCTCTTCCCCCCCAACCGGTCGGTAGTGGTCTGGCGTGTGCTGCCAGCAGGAAGACCTTCTTGCGCTGCAGGTTGTTTACACACACACGTGTCATTATTGGGCGTATGGGAGTAGGTTGGCGCTTTCCTGTGTAACCAAACGGTAGGCAGTGAGTTGGTTGCTCAATCTCGACCGATGCACTCTCGAACGATGCAGAGCCGTGCTCTTGACTCGCTGGCCCCTGGCCCCCCTCCTTCTGATCGTTTTTTCTTGTGTGTGGCTGCAGGACAGCCGTCATCTCTATCTCCTCATGGACTATTGCGCCGGTGGAGACTTGAAAACTCTCGTCAGGTAACCACAACGCCGGCAATGCCAACCCCCCTAGGAATATTCTAGCTTTTTTGGAGGGCTGCTGTGTCAAAACACAGGGTGGGTCGTGTGCGGGTGCTTGTTGGCGGTGATGGGCCCGCGACATTTTGCACGTGTAAACAGCAAGATTTTATTTGTCCCGCATCCTGGAGACGGAGTGCTCAGCCCCACAAGGGATTGCGGGACAGCCACAGAACATACCCCCTTCACTTGCTGCTCGCAGTCGGCTGACCCCGACGCTTGTCCCGGAGTACTCGCGGTATTCCTCACCATCGGCGTTGAACGCAAGTAAGTCGAGTTGAAAACTAACCTGATTTGCTGCCGTTTACTTTTCTTTTAAGTGGGGTTAGAATTCCCCCAACACAGGGTGGCGTGGAACCCTTGTTATCCACCGCTTGCTGCCGCTCCAATTAACCGGCCACCGCCTCCCCGCCTCTGCCAACAAACGTCGAAACACAGGGATGTTGCGAAGCGAGCCCTTACGGAAGAAGAGGCTCGCTTTTACGTCAGCGAAATCGTGGCGGCGCTGGAATGGGTGCACCTGCACGGATACGTCTATCGGTGAGGCAGCGGAATGACATTGTGTGCACGGTAGGGTTTATCAAGGCGATGTAATGCTGCCGCGCTATACGGCGAGAAACCAAACCAGCGCTCGAGATGCGGAACACCGTCACACGGGCTTGTGGCAGTTCGGTGATTTGTTTCATGGGAAGGACTTGGTGCGGCGGGTTGGTTTGCGCTTGGGCAGTCCTGCGGCTGACCCAACGGAAAGCAGATGCCGGCAACGATGACAAGATCATGTGGAGCCCTCTGCCAACGCCACGGACGGCCCGCTGCCTTGCTCGCAATTGCCGAAGGTCTGTGATGGCCGAATCGGTTGCTTGTCTCTCATTTTTTTCTCCAATATCGGTTTGAGTGGCCAATCGATTGAGTTTCCACACTCACCGACAGCATTGGTTTGCCAAATATTACGTGATTCGACCTTTTGTGACGGGTAGGTCTCCACTTCCACTCACCCGGTTCATCGCCATCTGTCTGTTCCCCGTCGCTTGCGTTAACGCCTCTCCGCTCCCCGTGCTTGGCAGAGATCTCAAGCCCGAAAACGTTCTTATTCACGCGAGCGGCCACATCCGGCTGGGGGACTTTGGCACGGCAGAGCGCGGGAGGTGGGCTGTTGCCGTCGTGGTTTCCGAGCCACCGAACACGTCGTGTCCCCAAAACAATCGCGACCAACGGCCACCACATGCCCACCCCACAACGCACAACGTGTCTCGTATTTAGTGATATTGTCGTTGTGTCCATTAGGTCTCTTGGAGCACAGCAGCGGTGCCCTGATGCACGATAGAAGGGCATGGCTCACCTAGGGAAGGAAAGTATTCCTAGATGTGCATTAGAGCAGTTGAGCGGCAACCCCACCAACACCGCTACCGGTTGACCCTTCCGTAAGTTTCCGTGCCCCGTTTGCTTCCCTCCCTGTACCACTACTGTTCTCTTTTCGCTCGAAGCTTCAAGTGTCAGGATGTGCCCGGAGAAAAGCTGTGCCCGGAGGAGGTCGAGAAGGCCCTCGGCGAGACCGGCATGTCTCACGCTGCTACCGCCGGCGGTAGCGCCAGTGGCGGGCACACGTTTTCCGAGGAAGAGGAGGGCGATCTCGACGAGTCCAACTACATTCACCACGGCGTCGGTGCCGACAACGGCAACGGCCCACCACACAAGGCCGCACACGCCAAAGGCAGCAGCATCATCGTGCAGATCGACCCGTTCTTGACGGAAGCCTCGGCGTCGAGCGTAGTACATGCTGCTGATCCTACGGAAGAAGCGGCGGTGGAGGAGGAGGCTGCTAGCGCCGGCGCCGCTCCTGCTGCTGCTGCTGTGGACAGGCCGGTGTGCACTGACGACGGTGATGATTCGGCGTGGCCTGGCGGTGGATGTGGACCGCCCGTGGGATGCGGCTGCGGGAGAAGGCGTGGGACGGGAAAGTCAGCCCGCGGACCGTGAGTGAAAAGACAGGGATATGTAGCCGGCTGGTGCACGCTTTTTAAGGGGAGGGGGGGGGGGATTGACAGGGTGGTGGGAGTGTTAGTGCGCGTGGTTTGATTGGTGAGGGTTTCTGGGGTGTTGGTTGTTGGGATGCAGAAGGGCTGATGGTTGTTCGTTCAGCGAGCCGCGCTGATCCTTTCCCCCGCGGCGTTCTCTTTGCCGTACTTGTTGACGTTGACACTTGACTGCCGTTGCTGAATCGGTCACTGTAGTGTGTATCTTGTCTGTGACAGTGATGTCGTTAGGCCTCTGTTGCCTTTTGCACACCCGCCGAGCTCGTCGACTTCTGTCCATTTGTTTTCCCGTTCGCGTG